AACGCTATCTAATCCGGTACGGTAAGCGAAGCTGGTGTTATGGGTCCTAGACAAGTGATATCAATACTTACATTTTTTTTAAAGGAATACATAATATACATACTTAACACCCAGGGCGATACAATACAAAAATAATCATACTCAAGAATACAAATCTTTATAAGGCGCGAGGAATCGAACCCGCGTCCATCGGAAGTAAAGCGGTGTACTAAACCGCTAAACCCCTTAGGCCATTATTAATTATATAATTCTTGGGCAACACAAAATATACCAACCAATACCAAGGATTGAAATCAAATTAAGCGTCCCTTAGGCAACAGTATTAGTCAAAGAATAAATAGCATACTCCTATCGATTACAATATGACACTAAACATAATAAGATTAACAGCGACATTTAATACAAAAAATACTTCCGAGAATCGAACCGACTATAATCCTGTTAAATAAGTAGCCGAATGTTGCGTTGAAGTTTATCATAAAAACTGTTAGCACGAAATTTATACCTGCCTTCCATGAATGGATATTTTGTTTAAACGTTGCTTGAGAGAAAAAAATAAAAAGAAATAAAAATGAGGCTGCCACAAAGGCACCTCTAGTGCGGCTGCGCCGATATCGGACTTGCGCATTTTGACAGAACGGGATCAGGATTGGGGGCAGGTAGGATACTGTAGATGTTTTGATTCTTATATATGTATGGTTTGCTTCACATGATACGAACAAAAGATATTACGTTGTAATAGACATTCATCGAAATACAAAATCACTGCCTTATTTTCTATTTCACTCCTAATATTGAGAGTCATACAAAGAAATAGACAGATATAATAGTATTTATTAAAAAATAGTACCTACATATCTTTATCTTATAATGTATAGGTACTCATGAGTTTATAATAATTATTCATATGCAGTAATAAATTGTCTTTACAAAATTATTAATAAAATTTTGGGTGTCTTTGGTATTGTTTTAGTATTGAGTAAATATTAAAAACTAAATAACATTCTAAAAACAAAAAGTTCGAATTAAATAACATTACGTCATCATTATTTAAAAAGTAAAACAAATTCAAAAAGCGAACAGTTAATAATTTGCTAGGGAACCAGGCCCCGGCTGGGTAAAGAGCCGCCTGTCAGCTATATTCGAAGGGGAGCGATTAAATTGAAATTCCTTTTTTAAATTCACCAATGGGGGAGGGGTGACGTCGGATTGGCTCGATGCGTTCGAGCGAAATAATCCTCTGATTGACATGCAGTTTGTTGCGTTTGTGATATTATTATTTCATAACGCTTTGGTTTGTTACATATTTTATTTATAGAACAATGTTGTAGCAAAGATGTCTTAACATTGCATGCTACCACGAGTTTCAATATTTGTATAGTCTTAAGAAACTAACAGTTACTGGTTGAAATGTTTATATAAATCTCTATAATTAAGCATATGCAATGGAAAATGATCTTTTGTTTCTTTGAAGTCTGTAGTGAAACAAAAGAAAAATTAATTTCTTTAATAAAAAGAATTAATAGACTGTTAGATAATAGATGAGTATTTCTTATATCAATGATAAAAACATATTTTATAGTATGCTTCATTGGGCGGTGTCCAACAATTAAGTACACTCAGTCACATGTATAACATAACTATTCTATTACTTAATTATAGTTTTATCATAATTTACACAACCAAAGTGACAGTATAATCAAATATTTAACAGATACCTATAAAGGTGTTAACTAATTGAAATTTATATTAATCATGTAATTATTGTTCACATTCACAAACATACTAAGTATATAAATAATAGGTATATACTTACTATAAAAAAATCTTGTAATTTTTTTAATATATTAGACGTGGATTTTGTTACGTGACCATATTAATTTCGAAAACTTTTAACGATTAATTTATCTTTTTACTTTTATACAGTTGAAAAGTCAAAGTAAAGTAGCAAATTTATATTTAATTAAATATTTTATGACTAAGAGCAGTAAGTAGTTGCATATTTTAGTAGTTTAGAAATACGCCATGTCATCAAATCCATTTAAACTAACATTATAGGTCAATTTCGTTAAGTTTTACGACTTATTCTTTAAAAAATAAATAATTCTTTGAAGTACATTTAGAGACAATAACAATAAGGTTTAGGATTTCAAAGTGATAAATTTTAGTGTAACATGTATTTTCAGTTATTGAGCTGTTGCGAATAAAATCATGTAACGGAGGTGAATTGTCAAAAAATTATACAGCGTATTTACCAGACCTATAAATATATGTCTATATATAAAAGACTTCAATAATTTCATTAAAATAAAATTTATCTCTATAGTAGGTATATTAAAAATATATTGTTATTTGTGCGCTATCACAAACAGAACAATATAGACATAAACATATATTTCACTGTTTATTCTCGGCGGACTGTACAAAATGTATTGAGTCACCGGCCCGTGAACTGAGACAACATATGGCATCTTGTTAGTTGGACATAGTACCGGACGGACGTGTCGTGTCGGGTGATAAACCTACGGCCATAATGTTGCCTCATTTTGCTTGCAATTTTTCACCTAAGTAATTTTGGTACATTACTATGTCTTTTTATTTATTCTACTAATCCCACTAATGCAATAAACGTAAAAGTTTATATGTGTTTGGATGTAATTTAATTAATTACGTTTAAAATTCTAAAGTGGTTTAAATTAAATTTTGACCCCACAAATAGCACACGAGATATATGCTGGATTAGTACACACTCCTAGAATATGTTTTAGATTAAATCTCAAGGGAAAGTCGCGGGATATATGTAATTATTATATTATGAAAATAAATTAAAAAGTACAACACAACATTAACTTTGTAGTCCACACTAAGCTATTAGTCTAAACCAACTAAAAATATTGTACTCATAATTTGTTAAAATGTGCAACTTGAAAGCTAAACTATATTTTGCTTCTAATACTGAAAATTGTACATCGATAGCCGATATTGTAACCGAAGGTGATCATATAAACCTATAAATTAAAAAACTAAGCTTTCAATCTGACCTCATTTTGTGTCGATGTCAAACAAACTAACAATGACGCAAAAATTAGAAGAGTAAAAATGTAACGGCTTGAATCTTGATGGCCAGCGCATTCTCGTGATTTCTGCGCTTGTGGCTCAAACAGTGTTCGATGCGTATATTTTTATGTTTTATTTGCTTCTGTAGAAATTTAATGATCTCGATTTTTTCTTTGGCACTAACCATTGACCAGAAATATTAAATTTAATTTCTGCTTTTTCGGTTTCATTTATTTTTATATTCTCCTTATATATGTTTAAAGGCGTCTCTCAGACATATCTACAAGTACTCTTTCATATTCGTGTTTTTAATATGTGTATCTAATATATAATTTTTCATTATTTTATTACTTATAAACATTTTGTTTACATTTTATCTATATATAAAATCCGTGTTTTGTATATAACGTAACATCGTTAATAATTTAATATACGAATTAACCGTTTTTAATAAAAAAAGTTATGAGAACAATATTATTCATAAGTACTTGCAAAATAAAATGATTTTTCACTATTAGGCGTGTATTATTTAAAAAATGCTTAGTATTGTTTGTGATGGATGTACTAAATAGCATCATGTACTAGTACATTATACATATTATGTACTATTGCTATTACCATATACCGTAGTATGACCACACCCTGAGAAGAGAGACCGGCTGCTTACTGTTACGTCACTACACGTGCCCGCCTATTTAACGGTCTGACCGTCACAAGATATATATCTAAGACGACATACATTCATACATACAAATATATAGTTACCTTAACAAAACATTTTTATTGCTATTTAGTAATAAAAGTGTTTTGTAACTCGATAAAATTGTAGGTACCTGTACCTACCTATTTACTTTACTATTGCACACACTACGCAGAGCTTGCTAATAAAATGTTGACTGTGTTTCACTTTCATATAAGTAAATATCTTCCTAACAGAAATCAAAGTGAATGTAGATATTGATTAAATTAACACTTTATTTTATTATACAAATAAAGATACAAACAGCTTGTTACAGTCAGCTGAATAAACTTTTCACTGATATTAAAAAATAATTGTAATGAATCTGAGAAATTATGTATTTAGATTTTATTCAAAGGCTTATTTTAATTACAGATATAATATACTTAACTTACATAGTTAATTGTAACACTTCTAGGGAACATTATAGATTTTCAATTGAAAGCTAGCATTATTTATCACTTATGGAGATTAGTCAATGTGTTAGACGTCACATTGCGTCATGTTCAATAAAAAACAATTCCCTTCTTGTAAATCGAATTTCGTCATCTATTTTATTTTCAGTCGAAATACAAACTTCTCATTTGGTTGCATTTAATTAATGACCAGATTTGTTTTTCTGTAGGTACTTTTCTTTGTTAATAATATAGTATATCTGGGGTCGATAATCCAATAAATTTCAAATATATACTCACAAACGCAGCTTTACTAGAAATAGAACAGTAAATAACGACATGCACATGTTCTCTATCCTGCTCGAAGGACCATTAGCAGCAACGGCCGGGTAAGCCGGTTAAGTTTGCCGATTTCATTTGGCCGCACCCATTATTTTAAATAAAATACTAACTTTGTAAAGGGCAATGTATTGTCTCCAAAGTTTACAATTAGAAGGGTGAAGTTACTAAGTTACAATTAATGTGTTATTCCAAATTAGTTTTGAAATATAAAAAATCGCAATTAGTCAAAAGTCGCAAAGACTTAGTCGATTCACAGAGAGATTTTTTATTTAAAATATATAATATTATATTTATATATATATATATATTATATATATAATATTTATATATCAATGTAAGTTTATTTGAATAAATAATATTTTTTTTCTATATAATATTTATATATCTATAATATTTTTTTCTTATAGAATTTAAACGTAACTAAAATATCATTAAATGGATATTTTTATTTCTACTAGGTACGTTATTTTTAGCAAAAACCTATTAGCAACTTTTATGTCCCACAAAAGTGGCCGTTAATACTTAAAGGTATCCATTTTCTCTGAACTATGTGTCAATTTACTTTATACATTATATTATCGTTGTCCTAAACACTGCCGTAAAATAACACTTGAAAATCCATTTGCCCTCAACCTCTGATACTTGACATGGAGGAGCTTCGAAAAACCATCCCTTCCTGGTTATTATTAGGTCTCGCAGACCTTGTTAGACCCGGAACGAGGGGTAAGCAAATCTGAGGTGTAGGGAGGGGTAGTGAGGCGTGTGGGGGAGGGTGAGAGGGGGTGATGTAGTAGGCCTGTGTCGCCGGTGGCACTCCGCAACGCGCAGCTGGCTTGTGGCCCACACGCTCCCGTGCTCTGCAAACGGTTAGATTTGTCACATTTAATTTTTTTTATTACACCCACCGTACAGATATCCAATTGCACTTAGATCTTAGATAGATTATTACTAGACTAATTATCATTAACATACACATTTTAAAGTCATTTACAGAATACTAAAGGAATTAACACAATTTTTTTCTATTTTCAGATAAAGGAAATTTTATGGGTGCCGTTACAAAGACTGGTAAGTTTAATACTCATTTATCCTTCGTAATCAATAAATAAAATTAATGATACATAGTTCATACTTGATAAAAAATCCCAGTCTATTTATATTACGCGTAGTGTTATACATAACATGCAATTTTTAGCAATTTTCTTCACACAAATCTTTGAAGTATCAAAATTTTAGTAGCCTATATCTTTAATTTCCAATAAATTACTAGTAAAGTAAAAATTTTCAATGCTTGTAGCATTTAGTTACTTAGGGTTTGGTCCAAGTAAGAGGATAAAGGTCAACCTGAATGACTAACTTAAGTTGACAAAGTGAAAATAGTAATTAAATGAGTAAAATTATGCTGAATATATAATATAAATTTTCATACATGAAAGAAATCAGTACGATTCAGTTCGAAGATATTTACTGAGTCAATCTATTGATTTTTAATAATTATATTATTTATTAAAGATTTGATATTTAATTCAACAAAAAAACGATTGTGACAAATTTCAATACGTTTTTAATACTATGTAAGTTATTGTAATAGTCAGTATAATAATGACTTGCTAAATCAAAACGTACCCAGCTATTATAGCTTTCTCATATCATCGGATTGTTATCCTCGGGTTAACTTCACAAATATTAGATTAACCGTACACTCATTTATACTCAAATATGTCAGACCGCATTCCCCTGTCACGCCCGCGTGATTCTGCTTTGTCACGGTGGCGCGGTGTTAACACTTGTAACTACATAAGCTTCTGACATAGACCACAGGATATTTCCGCGTACATTTTATGATGTAGGAATAAAATTCAGCATAGAGTACATATTGTAGTATTTATAATAAGTAAGTTATAATATTATTCTATTTCTATTAAATATTTTAATTATAAATGAATATTAATAATTATTATTACTTGAACATTATGCTTATGTAACATTTACGTTTTTTAAGATAAGTATCTATAGTAATAAAAATAAATGTAAATTTCAACCATTGTTTTATATTATAGGAATATAGAAAATACATACCTTTTTTTATACATGTAATTGATATAAATATGTATATTAGGCAAATATAGGTATTTTTATTAAAATACTAAATTGTTTAGAAATATTCATTTAAGACAATTTCAATAAATGTATTCCAGTAGGTGTTAATTTCAACCTTGAATTACGAATAAAAGTTTATAGGATGTATTAAAACGCACATCTACACCATAAAAGTGCCCTAACACCCCCGCATGCGATAACGCTAAATGAAAATCTTTCCTACGCGCTACTGCCAGTCTTTATTCTTCTTATGATAAATTTACATTGTCGACTTGATCAATATGTAAGCTAGTTGTCAGCCCGTTTTTGGCGCATGTAATCTATTAAATTTGCCCTGTCTGTATTGACACAACCTCCCGTTTTTCGGGGTCAACTCGATCAATTACACCGTCGTCGTAAAAAAATCGTATACTCGCAACAAAATCGCCTTGTACCAAGGGACCGCTCGTAACAGTCCATCAAGCTGACTTCGGCAAACCTACCAAGAGTAGAAGACATTCAAATCGAGTGGGATTGTATTATTTTTATTGTATTATTTACGTTATCGGGGTATGCGGGAGTCTGCGCGACGAAGGACGCCTCGCCGCTCGTCGATACTGAACGCCCTAGTACGCATGTGCGGAAACCTTGGCGGTGCTTTGATAATATTCTGATTTCTCCTTTTATGCATGTTAATGTATGATATCAAAAGAGGTCTGACCATTCTATCTCCTTTCTCTTCATTACGTACCTTTGACAGAACATGTCCACACATTTTCCATTAAAGTATATATTTGCATTGTTGCTATAATTTGTCTAATAAAAAACGTTGAACTTTTTATCTAATGCTATATATTGGTATCAATCTAATGCAATATCAAATATATTGGCATAGAGTTGCGTACGTAGACAGTTAACAACATGAACAATTATAATTTTTTACTGTATCGATATATTTGCGAGAAAATTATATCTAACCGAAATTATTTTAGTTACAATTTAAATAGACCAACGCCCAGAAGTAAATCCTGTAAATCTACATGAACATAAAATTTCTCGCGCTACCGTGAATTATTGTGTAATTACATAGCGAACATTTCCCCATTTATTTATTAAATAACAGGAAAGTTTTTTAAAATGGAATCTTGTTCTGCGCAAGGTTGTAGACAGCGCGTACCTATGGGGATAGTCGCGTGACAAAGTTGTATGAAAATAATGTATTTTTATTACTTACCTAAGTTACATTCATTGTCATTAAAACTTTCAAAGTTCATAAACGGGCCGGTAAATAAATAAATGTTCTCGAGGATTGCGTGCCGTTTAGTTTCGTTTGAGTTAACATGGTTGCGTTTTTCTGTCCGTTTATAAAGAACAAAAAATAATTTAACGTATCTATTGATCAAATTCGATAGCATAATGTGATAGAATTAATATATTTACTTCATAGCTCAGGAAAGCTAATATTTATACAAATTCAATTCTTATTGATTTCCAACGATAAAAGAGGTGTTCATAATCATTTTACCACCTCTATTAATGGTCACGTGACTAATCTTATGGAAAGAATTTAAAAAAAACCATATAACTAGTTAGGAGTATACACACACTAGTGGGCTCATTGCTTAAATTAAATAGCAATTAGTGACCGAAATAGTCTATTTAAATGGTCTAATTTTCAATTAACTTCCTAAAACACAGTTTCTTAAATTGACTGTATTTTTGTTTGATATTTAAAAAGAATTTAATTCGATATTAATTTTCAATGATCCAATGTTATCCATATTGAAGAAATTTACATCTACACAATTTACACATAAGCAACTATATAAATTGTAATAATACAATCATTTTTCTTTTGTGTTGATAAGTTCTGATAAGATATTATAAAAACATACATATAGTACATATATCCTAATCTAACTTATTATTTATTTTGTCGCGGCTACTGTTGTATATACCAACCTTTCTCCACTCTATATCTAAGCTTCATGTCGTCTAAAATGGTACGACATTTTATCACTCGTATTCTTAATTATATTTACCCCCTTTTCACTATGTCATGGAATTTTAAGTAATAATTTTCTTACCCAGGATAATCAAACACAAATAAATTGTTATCTGTTAACTGTGTAAGATGACAAACAGTTGGTACACACCTTAATCTCAGAGATAGGAATATGTATTAGAAGATGTAAACAGCGCAAACATTTGTTAAGGCAGCTTCCGTTGGCTTAATCTATAAATAAAGGAGATAATTGTTCAAGTTTTAGTAGGCTAACTCAATAAATAAGTGCTTAATCTTATCTGGTGTCAATATTTACCTAATGCCGGTGAGATATCTGAAGATTAATAATTTATCCTTAATCTTCATGGTTTAAATAATAACATAGTAATATTAAAGTGCCATTGTATTACCGGAACATATTCGTAAACAATATCAGTGATACAGTAAGATAATTTCATGTCAAATTTTAACAATTTTTTTTTTATAAATATTGAAATATTTCAAACATTGTCAAACATATTTTTTAAATCTATGAAGAAATGTATCAAAATTATAAATTATAACTGATTAACATTATCGATGTAATAATAAAATAAATATATTTCCTGTAATTCATTTAGCTACAATCTGTGTAAAGTTGTATATTTTATAAAAGTAAATAGATATATACATGAAATATTCGCCAATCCTATGGGTATATGTATAAGCAAAATACGAATTTAGTAAGAGAATTCGTGTTTAGGAAAAATATATGAAGGTTAATAAAAAGGCAGGAAGTTAACAATAAATCCTGTGTCAGTGACCTCGTGACTAGAATACTACATGTGTTGTATGCTCATATATCCAGACTAACATAAATAACTACCTACTATTTATGATTCACATGAAAAGTCATTATAAAAACAAACTACTTATGTAGGAATGTACGAAAATAGAACATTAATTCAAACTGTGGAATGTATGCATAATAGTTATATTACAATTCTAGTGTAAACATTTTTCTGCGTCTATGCCCGAAGAGGACACCTTTACAGCTATGTGCCAAAAATGTTGTTCAATTTATGCCCAAATTTTAGTCCCGACTGGTCCCTTTTTGTTGCCATCTGCGCGGCTTGCGACCCGAACGTCCAGACAGCTCCACCCTAAAAACCGTTTAGACAAGATTTTTATCCTCTTACTCAACTGTCAAATCATATAACCTTATCTCTGTCTAAAAGTTCGGATAGCCAGGACCTGTCGCCCATCCCCTTTTTGCACACGCGTTCAGATTGTGCTATCCTTTCTGACTCGTACTAATTCGTGTGTTTCCGCTTCCCACACGAGTGGCAGCCATGTTTGGCGGGACTGTCAAGTCAACGCCAGTTTGGCGCGTATCAAGCTGGATGAACAAGGTCGGTTTCCATCAGTGAAAATCTTTTGTTCCCTATTTTATACCTTACATCATAACATATGTCCTCTAAATTAATTTTATAATATAGTAATTATAAAATCTATTTCAGATGGCGTCCAATGGATTATAAGCGGACAAGAAGCGAGATCAATTGTAAGTGGTTGCAGATATAGTTGATTGTATAGAATAAAAATATTAATATCTTATATAATTCTTCCCCCTAAGTAAAATATTGGATATATTTTGGCACCACTCCAAGAACATTCATTTTGTTCGTTTTATGGGTAATTTTCCTCGTTTGTCATAGGCCTCTGGACAATAAATAAATATTTGTATTAATATGTGAACGAGTTCTTTTAATATTCTTTGCAAAATAATTTTGAAGCTTTTTTTTTTTCACATTTATGTTATACTAAAATATTATAATTTTATAACTTGAATAAACATAGGCTTGAATTTTGACCATAGCATGTAGCCCAGACCTGCTCTATTGGTTACCATATCTATTGTGCTTCCCTAAAATAAACAAATAAAATTTACGAAAGAGTCAGAGATCTCATAAAAGGCTAAGTTATAGACAATAGATTCAATGTGTTCAACATCAAAAGACGTAACAAAGCTTTGCCGATAATTGTTTGAGCTCAAACAAACTTTCTGGGTCGCTGTTTATTAGCGCCAAAGACCCTGCATTAGTTACTGCTTTTGGGTCTCGAATTTAAAAGGTAAAAATATACTGGACGACTAGTCAGTGAAGTAACGGCTTCTGTTTCCCATTAATGATTAAATTTTCGACTGATTTTAAAGCTGTTTTCTATAAATAATGGTCTGCAATTATTTCAATCCCTGCGGAAAGAATTTCATAATATATGTATGTACCTACGTAACCTACGAGTTTACTTTTTTGTCACTCTATTGTTTGTCGCTGTGGCCTATGAGATATAAAAGTATAGTTAAAAGAATTGTGTTTACTATGTTGATGCATAAAACTAACAAAACGTACATGTTTAGATAGCATGTTTTTCACAGCATTCCATTATAACGTCAATGTCTCCTGTGATTGGTACGAGTTATTTTTAATCGAACTATAAATTAATGTGTTTTAAACAATGAGTGAATATTAATATAATGTATACTTGATAATTAATATATCATAAAAAATCCAATATATTCATACAATCTTTTGATATTCTATAATTGATAATTAATTTGACATTACACAATATTTATCACTCGCCCACCAAATAAGAGTAGGAACATTATTATAAATCATATAACTGACGCCATTGTCTAACGCTAAATATATTCAAAGCCTCATATAAAACTTGTCACCCATAAATGTAATGCACGAATTCTTGTCATAGTTTTTTTTTATTTACTGTCCATTACTAGTGTGCAATGGTCGTCTCTATTTTATTTTTATATTATATTAGCTGACCCGGCAAACGTTTTGCCATACAATTATAATACAAAATTTCATGAGAATCGGTCAAGCACTCGGTTGCATAGGAGTTTTGTTATAAACATTTTGATACTAGAAATTTATATATTACATTACGTAATATATCTTGTACATGCAGTAAAGTTTCCTATGTTAAAAATAATTCTTTATCTTTTTTCTGAAAATACCTAAATATACTGCTCTATATATGTCTTAAATTTATTCTAATACTTCACCTTAATCAGACTTCAGTATTACCACAATGCCATCTACAAATATATTTTTTTAGTATTGGAACGTCATTTATATTTTTATTTTTCCATTTGTATACATGGTCTACTAACATAAATGTACATTATCAAATACTAGTCTGATAACTTTGCAGCTATTAAATTAAATATTTTAATATATGATTCATATATAGTAACTAACTAGAACTAACTTCTTATGGAGGAAGTAGCGGGTGCTTATAATTCGTGACAAATATCGATCTGTACATATTCTAGTATTCTATAAATTCTTTCGTAGACTGACCATGAAGGCTTCTATCATTTCTAACCTACTTTTATCTATTAGATTACTTACCATTATTCTGCTAAAATGATTGCTTTTTAATTTCCATGTTATCACAATTAGTGTGTTTGGTCAGTTTTTGAGAAGTCTTAAGAAGAGCACTTCTTCCGACATTCCATTAGTATGATTTCCTAATACCTATGGAGTTGGCACATACGTATCATCTCGTGTAAACAGGCTACAATTATGCAGAGCGGACTAACAAAACGTGTAAATGGGCCAATTACCGCTGTGAATGTAGGCTACCGTACAATTAGTGGGTTGCTAATAGTTTTCATCACCAATAGTTTCAAACGATACGCAGTATGAGAACAGATCAGATCGACACCGTCCCTCGTTATGATCACAACGTTTCATTCCTGAGAGTGATAATAAAATATCCAAAGTATATCTAATACAAAATATTCTAAATAGTGTTCTTCAAGATTCTCTTTTGTTTAATTTCAGTTACATCTTGTATTATCTGGCACCTCGTGGCTACATTGTCAAGGTATGTCCCTGTTTTTTATTAATATATTTCATGCTTAAAAAGCACTTTTACTATTTTTATTTTTATTGGAAACATTGAACATGTTATAACTTATACAATTCTGTTATACATTGGATATTATTGCATATATAAAAATTATTTCATAGGTAGTAATGAAATTTATAGTACTTTAATTTGACTAATTTATTAATTCATAAAGATGAAGTAAATTTTTTGAAAAGATTTTGACATGTGCGCTACATTTCAGAATAGATCAATAATTTAATGGTGCTTAGCTATAAAGTTCCAAAGCTCACATATAATTTTAACGACTCTAAAGGTAGTTTCAAAAGTGTTAAACCCTCCGTTAACTGTTAATAAATTCGGACTTGGCTCATTAATTGGACTTTAGAACGTTTTATTGTAGAGTCGCTTCGAAACATAAAACTTCTGACTTTAAAAGTCAAATTACTTTTATAAAGTGTAAGGATAAAACACACATTTTTTGTGATATCTTTCACTAAAAAAAAGAAAAACATTTTTGTCTCTAAATTAAATAATTATAACACAATATACCATTTCGTTTTCAAACCTACCTTAACAAATATTCGATGGCAGTTTAAAAATGATGATCGTAAACCAGTTTTCAAGATACACAACCCACTGGCATAGTTTTTTAATGTTATGATATAATAGTAATAGTATCTATTGGCTATACCGATAACTTCAAATAGATTTTGATTTTAAATTTATAACGGTAAAATATTATCAACTAATATTTATTATAGTATATCTGTGGATTCGATCAAAGCTATTCGTAATTGTAAATTGTACATAGATTATTGTTATAGTTTTGCATATTATATATTCTGTATACTTGAGTTTAACCTAGCATATACTCGTTATTCATTTATTTCTGCGGCTTTTCTGTTTTATACAATTATGCATGGATTTAAAGAGTTCTTTTGTTTCTCAATTGCATTCAATTACCGAAAGTTATTCTGGTGTCCTTTTAGTTTAAATCAGCGTGATTCAAACTGACCCGTTTAAGAAGAATCTTTTATACAATCTTTTTGACTTTGAACTGAGAACATAACCTCTGATAATTTGCTGATTGAGCAATTCCTATTCACGCATTTTTTACAATAACGGGAGTGTTCAATAACCTAATTGCACACATGATAAAGAGTAAATATCGTATAAAGACAGAAATTAAATTGTAAGTACTATCTAAAACACTAGACTTAGTATTAAGTCTTACACTTTTAGGACTCTTATATCAAGATAGATTTAGACTAAATAGGAAATTGTTTGATATTTATCTAGTGCTGCAATTTTTATTTAATACTCGTACCTGGAATGTATTAGTGTAAGTTTAAATGTTACTCATGCATTATTCTATTTGTTTACTATGGTTTAGCGTTCGTATTGTATGTAGTCTTTGTTCTATTTCCTAATTCACATACAGGATTTGTTTTGCCTTCAGGCTCAAAACAGCACCTCACGTACGTGTGTATGTCATAAAATAAAT